CATATCCAACTCTGGAGAATAATACAAGTAAACACATAACCTCCTCGAAGTTACCGGCAACCGGTTCCACTTTGCCTCTAATCACTTGTCCACATTCTCACTTCATATACACACCCACCGACCCATCGACGTCTACACAAACAAAACACACACACACACACACACTTGTGCTAATCTCTCTCTTTGTTTGCAGCAATTGCCAGAGCTACGAAGCCGAAAGCGCCAGCTCCAGCGCCACCTTCACTTGCCTCGTCGGGGAGCCACGAAGCCTCGTCATTACTGGCCGGTAAGCTCGAGTCCCTTCCTTTCGACAGCGCCTCTGGCACGGAGATTGCCGGCTTGCCCGTTCACAGCTCGGGCTCCTTTTCATTCCTCGGCCCTCGCCGCTTCTTGCTGGGCCACAAATCACCGTCCAAACGCCTCGCCGCGCACCGGAAGTCGCCGCCGAAAGTGGCCGCCCCGCCGTTTGCATCTGCTCGACGTGGACCGTCGGAGTCCCGCCGAATCGCGGAAACCGAGGACGACAACCATGACGCGGTTGAGGTGCAGGAGGAGGAGGAGGAAGAAGAGGAGGAAGAGGAAGAAGATGAGGAGGACGACGATGCAGATGCTGTCGCCATCGCCCTTCCGACGCCGGCGTTTTCGGGCTCCTCTTCCTCGTCGTCCAGCGCTGTCTACATTGACTGCCCGACGACTCTGCACCGCAGCATGTGCACCTACGGCCGAGCCGCGTACGGTCAGTACATCGCCAAGACACGAGCCATGCCAGACTTGTCGCCAAGTGATCTGCAGGACATCTTCCGCCCACTTCGGGAGTTGACTTTGGATCTGACTCTGGCCGATCTGAGACTTCCCGATGCGTCCGGCGCGGCCGTCCGTCGGGAAGGAGCCGAAGAGACCAGCCATTCGAGCTCAAGTAGACTCGCTGGCGGTCCGTCCAGCCGCTCGTTCGACCTCGTCCAATCCGCGTGTGGACGCCGCGTCCACCCGATCAGCCGATCAACTGGTACCACCTCAATCTCGCCTTCTCCACCCTCTTCGCCGAGCTCGACGTCGACGTCGACGTCGGGCGCCAGCTCCCCTCGCCATTTCGTCAGTCGGATTGCGATCAACCACTGCGAAACCATCCCGTTGGCCGGCAGCACTGGATGGGCTGGATCTACTTGCCGGAGAGACGCTTCCGAGGGGACTCAGACGACGCAGCTCGTCAGAGGCGACGTCGATTCTCGCGGGTCGAGCAAAGTAATGAAGTAGCACTTGTACTCGATAGTTTCGAGGCTCTCGGGCCGCGCAACGCGCACTTGCCCTCAGGTTGTTGACCTCGCTTGTGTCTTATCACCACCTCAAGCAGGAATCGAAAGAGGATTATGTTGGTACAGCTTTTACTGAGCCACATTTACTCGGTTGCCAGGCTTGAATTGTAGGTCAGGCTAGGCCTCCTACATATCACCGTGTGTACGAGTTAGGAGGAGCGCGATTTGTATTCAGGCTCTACTCACGATTTCGAGACTACTTATTATGAGCACAAGTAGTGTAGTAGGTTGTTGTAGCAAACACGAGTTTTATTCATCGACAATCTCACCACGCGAAAATGTGATATGTGGCTAGCCTTGAAATGCTCGTCTGTCCTGCGTGGGAACACCTTTTAGAGGGAAAATCGAGGTTAAATTTACTGAAGAAGAAGCAGGTTTAAATCAATCCCTTGAGATAACATTGTTGTGGAGACTTTCATTTCGTATGAAATTACTCGATGAAGAGATTCGTTGCTTTATCTTATCGAGAGACGACGGCTGATTCGCGTTGTTCTCCAGCCTTTTGGCCTTAACATGACCGTCAGGTTGACGCAGTCCACAAGACATCAGAGCCCGAACTAATTCGTATAAATAAATAAATAAATAAATAAATAAATAAAAATAAAAATAAATAAATAAATATATATATATATACTAATAACGAAAAAATATTTAGAAGTGGTCTGATCTCGCTTTCGTGACCTTGCCG